TCCATACCAGAGATGGAACAAAAGCTTGGAGACTTTTTTTTTTAACTCCATCTTCATGATTTAGAGTCATATCATTCATTAAACCTCTCTCTAGCATATGCTCCCCATCTCTGCTGTGGGATTAATTGTGTCTACTGGTTATAACTCACAGAGTTACATGAGGACCAAACATGTTAATATATAAGATGCTTTGTAAACCCTGAAGAGGTAAGACAAGGTCAACCTCTGGCTATCACTGCTTGTCATTAATAGCAAGCTCTCTGGAGCTCTTTCACAGTACAAGCTCAGCAGCTCACAGCCATCACAGCCTGCAGAGTCCTTTGTTCATTCAGCAAATATTTATTGTGCCAGGCACTGGGAGAGAAGGGGAAAAAGGTCCCAGGGGCACATGGTAGAGAAACCTCTGATAAGACAAAACACACATGGGGTTGAGGGGGTCAATGGGGGAAAAAGGGGGACATCTGTAATGCTTTCAACAATAAAGATAAATTTTAAAAAGATAAAACATACAAAAGGGCTTTTCCCCTTTGGATACAGTTTTCCTTTATACTTCTTTTTCTGTTTATGGAAGACAGAATATAAAGGAAGCAGTAGGAACTCAACAGAGGTTGAATGGCATACAGGCATTTAAACCAATTCTTCAATCAGGTCTACACTCCTAGGGAGAATAAAGAGACTACCAGGGGGTGGAGAGAGAAACTCAACAGCCCTTTAGATAAAACCAACAGCCCTTTAGATAAAAAACTAGACTAATGTCTTTATGAACCAGACCTAGAAGGGGTTTAACTCCATTTAAGACTGAGGTTAGATTAGAACTGAGAATCTCCTCTATGTCTGAAGATGAAATCAAGCTTAGTTTCAAATGTGGGGTTCAACTATTAGTTGTAGTAAGGAAAATCCACATTGTACCTCTAACTCATATTCTCTTTGATGGCTAATTCTGTTTATCAGTATATAGGACACTTAATAATCCAAAGTTCAACTTTTTCTTAAAGGGATCTATTTTTCTAACTGCTGAAAGATAACCAAGTTTTGTAGCTCCAAATGCCTCCCAAATATCTTCTAGCATGTGAAGGGAGTGTACACAGATTCACTGTTCTTTTAAGTAGCAGATATTGATCCTGCTTACAAAGGTTTTACTTAAAAGCTAAAAATTGTACTGTTTGGGGAGAATGTGAATTATGTTCACATGCTATATGTCTGGGGTACTTGTGCTCATGCTAAATTAAGGGGGAAACTAAGCTCCTCCTGGAGAGATGTCATGCCTCACTCTTTGTATCTCCAGTCCATATGAAATGAAGGTTTAATGAAACCTTGTTGATGAAAAATGCATTGTACCCTGGATGTGCTCAGATGAAGTCCTCAAAATGACAAAGTCTGGGCACTAACCCAGGAGCACACACCCTCTCTCTCATGCTCCCTTCAAGCTGGCAGCTGGAGGTGAGCAACAGGATGCAATCACGCTGGGTCAGCCCTGTTCTGTGTGCTTATACTTAGTAGTTCATTTAATGCCCACAAGAAGTCTGTGAGGTCAACACAATCCTTATCTCCATTTACTAGATGGGCAAATGGAGGCACAGAGGGGTGAAACCACATGCCCAAAGGACCAGAGCCAGGATTCACACCCAGGTAGCCTGGCTCCTGGACTCCTAAGTACTACGCTAGACTACGTTTTAAAATAATGTAAGAATAATAGGCATCATTCACTTATATTATTGTTTACAACTCTAACAGCAGCAGCTCACATTTCTCAGGTTCTCACTGTGAGCCAAGCCCTGTGCTTAGCATTGTACAACCGTATTTCACTTAATCCACCCAACAGCGTTTCCATATGGGTCCCAGCCTTCTCTCTATTTAAGACTGCAGATCAGAGGTTCAGCAGCCTACTCAAGGTCACAGAACAAGAGGCTGTGACTGGAGACCAGGGCTGTGTGACTCCAAAGCCCATACCTGCCCTGACTCGCTGCACGGGAGGAGTCATGTCACCAGCTCACCTTAACTTTTCTCATATTGGGACAACCTGAAAGGGTGGGCTTCTGCCCCTTAACTAGCCTTCCTCTGAGTACCTCAAAGTGAAGGTAACTGGAGTGACAAAGACATTAAGAGGCAGCAGAGTCACTGAATTTCAGTTTTGATACCTAGATTTGTCTTATGAAATAGCTGAGAAACAGCACTGCGGGTGAGAAAGCCAGCGTACGCCCAAATCAGCAAAGCTCAGTAAAACCCCAGCCCGAAACCACCAAGTTTCACCAAGTCTATTCATAGCACAAAACAAGCAAGCAAACACAGAGCAAAAAGGAAACCCTGACAACACAGCCAGCCCCTTGGAGCTGGTGGGAGGTTGTGGAAGAGCAGTGGTCTGCACACCTGCCACCAGGATTCAGGCTTCTCCTCTGTCGCCCTCAAACTGCAGCGTCACCACCCAGAAATGACTTAACTGCTTCTGGTCCCAGAGGCTCCTCCCTCTAGGCCATAATGTAATGTCCCGTCTAGTTTATATCATTACTTACTACATCATCATTATTATTATTATTTACTACTCTATTATTACTCTATTAAGGAAGTTCAGATAAAATAATCTAATGGAAGTGCTTTGAGGAGCGTAAGTTACAAAAAAAGGCACTACTGTTTTGATGACATTTAAGGAACACCACAAAGATTTACCATGAAGGGAAATCATCTTGCTCTCTTTTGCCAGTATCTGCTTTAGAATCCTGGGATATTATCAATAAATTTTTATAGAAAGTTCCATATCTGGATAGTTACAAACTCCACCTTACATTTTAAGATAAACTACATTTTGAAGTGAGCCTTGATTTTATTCATATAATCTCCACTAAAGGAAAATATTTATTAATAGCCTGGTAGCAATAAGTTTGGACTCTGAGCTCTTGGGTTCACATCCCAGCTTATTTTTACTAGTGAGGTGACCTTGGGTAAGAGACTTAGCCTCTCCCTGCCACATTCTTCTCATGCATAAAGTGGAGACAATGATAATATAGAGTTTGTTATGATGATTAAATAAAATGGACTAGTCAGGATGTCCAGTACATAGTTAGCAATAAACAAATATTATCAGTTGTCATTTTCTTCAAAGGAAAACAACAAAAGGAATATACACAGGGTGGGACAAAAATAGATTTACAGCTGTGAGTACGTGAAACACAGAATTTATTCTTGTATTATTATGTTTTGTATTATTTTCCACAGGAATAACTGTAATCCTACTTTTGCCCCATCCTGTATTTTGCAAGACCTTCTTTCCCAAATGTTAGAGGTATCCCAAACAAGGGTTCTGGGTAAAATAATATCGAAAAAAACTTCAATTCTAAAATAAATAAAATACTTGAAAAGATTGAAAGATGAGCTATGAACAAAAGAAACAATGCAGTTCTTAATGTTATTTTTAAAAGTATCCAAAACTCACAAAATAATAATACATGCTGAGATTCATGGAAAAGACAGCCAGAGAAACAAGGAAAATGCATAAAATATAATTACACTACACAAAAACTGATCAAATAGGTAAACAGCATACCATCAATTCCCAAGGGCCTAGAGTTTGTTCCATGCATGATCCAGCAACCAAAAGTAGGGGCCAAGATTTGCGAGGTGGCAGCCAGTTCATGCAAGGTTAAGTACTTATTAAATTACTTTACTAGTGCTAATTTCACAAGCAGCTTGGAGAAATAACTTTACTTGGAAATTGAGACACTGAACACTAATGACTGGAAAGCCAACTGCACACAGAGAAAGTACAGCAATATTGATCAACTCGTCCAGGGATCAAAGAGCTTATTCATACTTTTCAGCAAATATTTACCATTTATAACTGGCCAAGCACATGGGAAACGATAAAAAATACAAAGTAGGATAAAGCAGTCGCTACACTTATGTTTCATAATCTAATGCACAATGAACGAAGAAAGACAAAATTTTAATACAGCTCTTTGATGGGTAAACACACAATTGCAGCACCTAATTCAGTCCTAAGGGGATATGGAAAGATTCACAGAGAAGGTCATATTGAACAGGAGGCCAGGAAGAGTCAGAGTGAACTAGGGGAAGGGGTGAGAGTAGTCTCAAGAGTCTTTTAGGCAGAGGGAACAGCATACACAAAAAGTACATCAGAATGCCACTTTTCTACTCCCTACTCTCCAATGGCTTCCCATTATACTTAAAATAAAATCTTCAATTCATATCATAGCCTTAAGGGTACTATATGATCTGGCCCCAACTCATCTACTGTTCTGACCACTCGGGCCCTCTCCCCCATGCACCAACCCACCCATCGCAGAATAGGCTCTTTTATGTGATACACATATTTTTAACTCCCTGAAACCTCGAAAGGCAACCAGAATTAAGGAGGGCATGCCATTACTCCTGCACTCCTTACTCTTATGGTTGCCCAGGGAAAAAAACAAAAACAAAAAAACCCCAGGAAGGTAGGATGGAATAGGGACCAGGGAAATAGCAGATCAGCTCAGAGGCCACTGGGGAGATTCAAGATCCACCAACCAAATACTCCTGGGCTATGGTATATTCATTTCTCAAAACACAGAGAGATTCTTCCTCTTAGACCATCCTGCAATCTAAAGTTCATTCATCACTCATTTTTTTTACTTGAACTTAAATTTCCACTGCACTTGGCACTGCATCTCTAGCCATTTACAAGACGAAACCTCCAAGTTATAACAGCATCATTTCATGGCAAACATCAGGCTCCAACCTTCTGTTTTTACTTCTGGGGTCTTGTTAAATCAACTAAAATATAGAAAATACTACTTAAATAAATTGTGTTAAGAATCTTATGAAGTTGACTTCATTTCTGGCAAAGAGAAAAGCAAATAAGTGAGGAAGTTTTCTCATTCTTAAAGGAACAGTTATATAACCATCCCACATGGAAGAGCCAGGCTGAAGCCAAAATGATAAAAGACTAAAATAGCCTTGCTTCTCTCCAGAAGTTAAGGTTACAGTGGGGGATTTCACGGGCAACATACTTCTCATATAGCCTCTGTCCTCGCATGAAGGCCTTCACTTCGTTGTCCAGTGGGAAGGTACCGTCATCCTTTCTAAAGCGGTAGAAGAGTTTGACATCCTTGAATTCCTTGTGCTCGTCACACACTAAAACACAATGTTCAGAGAGGGGCAAATAAGAAAAAATGTTCTTTATTTATTCAAATGAATTAAAATGCTAACTAAGATTTGTTTTACTACCTAATTTCTCAAGCAACCTCCTATATGATTTAATACACACAGAGTATTTAGCACAGTACCTGGAACAGAGTAAGTGCTCAGTGTTCTTAGCTATCACATAATCATCATTATCTATTAAAAGGGTCACAAAATTCAACTCATCATTCATTCCACAAATTCTGCTTGAGCATGATATTGGGGTAGGCATCAACCATAAAGAATGTGAAATCTAGCAAGCTAAAGAGAAATGTCAACAAGTAATTAAAATATGGTGTGATGAGGCTATGAAGGAGGTGAAGAAATGCTGAGGGCCCCAAGGAGGAGTACCCAGTACCCTGGTAGCCTAGCTTTGGAGACTGGATGCTTCTCTGCAGAGTGCATGTAAGTAGAGACATGAACAATCAGTAGCAACTGGGCAAAAGTGAAGAGAAAGGGCATTCCAGCCCAAGAAGGGAACAGCATTTACAAGATCTTGGCCAGGGTTAGAGATTCCAAGGAGATGTGTCCATGAATATTCATTGCACCATTGAAAGTAACAGCAAAAAGCTAAATGTCCATGGATAAATGTCCATGACGGCACAATTACGCATGGCAGACATAACAATGAAAATGGAAATCCAGGAGGTACGCTGTCAGTGTGGACGAGTCTCCCCAAAGCATGTTGAGCAAGCTGCAGAAGAATGAACAAGCATCTCTGTAATGATTTAAAACATTTCAAACAAAATGATATGTTGCAAAAAGATGCATATACAGAAAGGGAAAGTATAAGGAAGTCCATGGAAATAAACCCAAATGCCTCCTAGAGAGAGGAAGGAAATGAAGCTGGGGAAAGGTATACACGAGACAATTAAAGTAAAATGTTTTGTTTCTTAGTGGGTAGGTTCATATATAGAAGAGAAGATGCAGTCCTTCATTTCCCTTCAATGACTCTGCCTGCCACCTCACTTACCATGATGAATGATGCCCCGGTCTGCTAATTTCTGCATGAGTTTAATTGCTGTCTCGCGGTCAGAAGCCTCTTTGTGCTCAATCAGCCAGTCAATCAGTTCTTTTGCAACGAAACAGTTTGGGTAGGTTTTGAGATGATGTCGCCTATCTTTAATAACCTTTTCTTCATGCAGCCTGAGCCTGGAAAGAAAATTGGGCAATCGTTTTACAAATTTTGATGACAACACAAAGTATTAAACCAATCCCAGAGAGCAGTGACAGAACGGAAGCCTGAAGGTACCAGAGTGCCATTCAAACATTTCAATGTCAGTGGATGATTTCCACACTGTCAGAGCCCAGAGGTCCCAGAGAGTGAGCCATCCCCAGGCCTACAGGTGATACAGGTAAATGGGAGGGAAAACAACCAGACAACCTAGAGCTCTCCTGCCATTCAGGAGGCTGAGAAAGGCTCTCCCACCCCTCCCCTGCCTCGCTCCCTTCTGTTTCTCTCTCCACCAGTGGGCTTGTGGCTTCAACCAACCAACCAACAAACAGAAACTCCTGAAACCAGGTACTTCCTCTTCACAGATTGCTCGGACTCCACCATATTTGCATTCCCACTCATTCATATTACAAATATGAATTTACGACTATATGTCTAATCACCTGCCCATTAGGTACTTCCAGGCATTGAAGACACACATCAGAAAATACACAAAGATCCTTGCTTTTATGGGCCTTATTTTCTATACAGGCAACAGTTAATCCTTTCATGAGGTTTACGAGGTTCCAGGTGCTAATGTGAGCACTTTGCATAGACTGACTCACTTAATGTTTACAATGACAATCTCATCAGAAGTTATTGCTGTCCTCTTTATTTCCCCCCCCCCCCCCTTTCCTCCCTCCCTTCCTTTCTTCCTGGAGAGAGAACTGAGGTCTCAGAGACATTAAGTCTCAGAGACCTGCCTAAGGCCACACAGCCAAGATATGAACCCTGATGGTCTCATTTCAGAGTCCAGTTTTCAATGGGAACATCATACTGCTCTAGCTGGGGAGAAATAATCAAAAATCCAGGAGATGGACAAAGCTGTTGAATGAATAAAATTTTTATGGGCTGATAGATGAGTGTGGAGGCAAGGTTGACACAGAGCCTTCCTCTATTCCCTTCAGAACTCAGTAACTTTTTTCTACAAGTCTTAAGCCTGTCTGGGAAAAAAAAAGTTTATCCCATTTATCTTGCCTTCTTTGATCACCTTGCATTTATTTACTTTTTAATTCTCAAGTGAAGGGTTTGAGTTGGGTGAACCATGAGGTCTGCTCTCCTCCTACTTCACCCACATAGCTCCTATGCTCCTTATACCAATTCTCAACATTGTTGAGAAACAGGAATGCCACAGGAGAAAATCACACAGCAACTGTGTGACCTGGGCAAGTAACTTAATGTCTCTTTCTTTCTCTGTAAAATGGAGATGATTGTGCCTACCTTGTCCTTGCAATGTTGAGATTTGGGGACATAATGTCTGTGAAGCACCAGCAACCCAGCATAGTACCTGACACACAACACGTCTCACCTTCCTTCCTGCCACTCCCTAAGGAAGGAACTGGATCATACTCTCACCTATTTTTTTGACCGAGTGCACAGAGTGATAATTAATGGGTTTTGATACCCCAAGGGTAGTGATTAGGAGTTGGGAGCACTGAGGCTAAGCTACTCTTCCTTGTTAGACACTGTTATAGGTCGATCAGTGTTGCCCTAAAATTCAAATGCTGAGGCCCTAAGACCTGGTACCTCAGCATGTGGCTGTATTTGGAGACAGAGTCTTTGAAAAGGCAATTAAATTACAATGAGGTCAACACGGTGGGCTGGTGTCCTTATCAGGAGAGAAGGTGAGGACACAGACATGCACAAATGAAAGCCCATGTGACACACAGAGAGAAGGAGGCCATCTATATAAGCCAAAGAGAGGCCTCAGAAAAAAATAACCCTGCCAACACCTTGATCTCAGATTTCTAGCCTCCAGAACTCTAAGAGTAAATTTCTGTTGTTTAAGCCACTCAATCTATTATACTTTGTTATGGCAGCCAGAGCTGACTATGAAAACCAACTGTTGAAGACTGGAGGCTCCTGAGTAGCCTGGGGAGGAAGGGCTCAGATGGGGTGTCAGGAGGGGGAATGGGACAGGAGAACAGAAATGACAGAGTCCTGACATCTGTTAACTGCATAGAAAGAAAAGAACCATTTTAATGGCATTCCTACCATATGCCCAGCATTGTACTAAGCATTTTCACACATGCTGACTTAACTAACTGCCATGGCCTGATGTCTGCATCCCCCCAACATTCCTGGGTTGAAATACTAAACCCCAAATGTCTAACCACTATGCTGTACACCTGAAACTAATATAATATAGAATGTCAACTGTAATTCAAAATTTGAGAAAAGATTTTTAAAATTAACTTTAAAGAGAAAGAAATACTAACCCCCCGAATGTCAGTTATGAGGAAAGTCAGGAGCACAAGACTAGGAATATGGAGATGTGGCTGTCAACCTGACACTGTCTGTAATTCCAGGCGATCAACTTCTGAGCATCAGAGTCCCACTGGTAAAATGGCATCACCCTGATCACACTGTCACAAAGCTAACGGGGATAAAGTTAGCCTTTGAGCCTTAGCATGTGCTAGGCACAGTTTTAACTGCTTTATTGGTATTAATCCTCATGCCAACTCCCCAAGGCAGCTCATATAAAAACCACAAATGATACCCATGTAAAGGTGTAATTATTAATAAAAAATAAATTAGCTCTAATTAAAAAAAAGTTCACATAGATGCACTAAAGTCATCACATGAATCCTTCTAATGAATTCAGTGACAAGGACACTGAGTAATTTGTTTAACATGCTCAAAGTGGCAGAATGCAAAACATTAATTTTTAGACGTGATGTCTGCCAGGAATTCAAGAATAATAAAGACCAATTTATTTAGAAAGTGAAATGCGGGATAAGCTACCATATAATTTGGTGGAGGGAAAAATAGGGTATGAGCCAAAAGAGGAGTTTTAGCTCCTGTAAACTTTCCAACTTTAAAAAATATATATTAGGTAATATTTATCTTTAAATACTACAGAACGAAACCTTTCAGTTACTTCCTTTCATGAACCCCAAGCTTGGTTCTAATTCTTGAGCATGTTTGATTCCCACTGGTCCCCACCCTGCTCAGTGGGAAAGCACTAGCCAGCACCCTCAGCCCACCAGGGTATAGTGCATTTCCATGTTTAGAAAACCAAGCAGAAATATGATGGAGAGAAAAGAACTCTGGACTGGGGACATAGCATGAAACTTGATATTTTTAGACATGTTACCAGGAGTTAAAAATGCTCAATAACTGTGCTACTATTTTTTTTCTTTTAATCTCAGAAACACAGATTCTAAAAATGAGCACTGAGCTCTGGCCAGGTGGCTCAGTTGGTTGGAGCACCGTCCTTACACCAAAAGGTTGTGGGTTCCATTCCCCACTAGGGTTCCATCCTTGGTCGGGGTGTATACAGGAGGCAACAAATCGGTATTTCTCTCTCACATCGACATGTCTCTCTCTGTGTCTCTCTTCTCTTTAAAATCAATAAAAAACATATCCTCAGGTGAGGAAAATAAATAAATTAAATAAATAAAAATGAGCATTAAAAATTGTACATTCTAGTAAAAAGTCGCCCAATAAAGAGGTAAGAATTTCTACACTGCAAACACATCATTAAGTGTTTTGCCTGGCACCATGGGTCCTTAACATACTGTCTGCGATGTCCAACACCTTCTTTGAGTTAAACCGCCTTCCACCCCTTACCCATCCAAGCAGGGTTCAAACCCCCCTGTCTGTTTTCTTTGCCTGGGGCATCCCTGCCCATGCCCATGGGCAGGTCAACAAGGAGACCAGGGGCATAAGATTCTACCCAGTTTAAGTGACAATAATTGGCTAGGCCAAGCAGAATGGCTCCCTCCAAGATTTAAACTGGAGTGAAGTTTTCAAACTCCAGTTGTGCCATGGGGAACACTTTCCTGAAGCAGCCGTTGCCTGGACATCAATGTGTAGAACAGAGCGATGTGGGGTGCTCTCACTAACGGGGTTCGGGTGCCCAGTGCAGGGTGCCTCCTGGTTTCCCCATCCGGTTCTCCCACCAACCCTGCACGTCCTCCAGACTGTTTACACGGACTCCTAGAACAAAGGCCGAAAGTCTGCAGAACTAAAAGACACTGAGGGGTGGGAGGAGTGGGGTGTGACAGCACAGGGAGGCTGAGGGGACAGAACGCCTGTGAAGCTGGAAATGAGAGATGGCGAGAGACAACCGTGGCTCTTTCGAGTTTTCCAGGCTTCTTCCAGCTATGCACACCCTACAATAACCAGAACAGGACCGACCCCCTCAGGTCCCTGTGTAAGCCTCGATTCCCTGGATCCAAAAGAACCTCACCTACCCAGGTGCTAAGGAGCATGCTCTAGAACATATTCTCTTCAAAGGCCTTCCACCCTGACCCTGGGCCTCCCCCAAGCTTCCTGGCTTCTCTCTCACCTCCCAACCACAAGCACACCTGCCCTGCAGCCTGGACGCACTGAGCTCCCCTCCGTGTCTCTGATCCAGACAGGCCCCCCTCTGCTTAGAATGCGCCCTCCCTCAGGCTTCGATAATTCGAAAAATTCTACTTGCTCTTCAGCTCGAAAGGCACTCCTCTGTGGCTGCCCAGCCCACCAAAGCCAGGAAACAACCTGTCCCCTGTTTTCTCAGATTTTAATGACACTAATAAAGCAATCACCTCACTGTCTTGCAATTAAGTGAGGTCAGGAATACTCAGGGAGAGTCGCTTATTTAGTTTTATCATTCTAGTGCCTGGCACAAAGTAGGGGACAGATCCTCAATGATGTGAAAAACATTGTGCCTACTGTGTACTCAGGATCAATCCACATCAGTCAAATCACTCCACACTGCACCACTGGGGAGAGCTAACCACCTCCATTTCAGCTGCCTTTTCAATCCCACCGGCTAAGGAATTCCTTGCCATCATTCATCTCAGACAGCTGGTGCGCAGGCTTTAGATTCAAGGTGATTTTGTCATGTTCTATTCCTGTCCAGCTAACCAGCTGCCGAAATTGCATCAGACAATTTCCTCTTCCCGCCGGAGCAGAACAAACACTACTGAGTGCAGGGTGCTAATAATCT